GCGATTGTCCCCTAAATATATATGTAGTGTGATTAAATCTTACTAAATTTACTTGATAATTCTAAAATAATATTGTAATAATTCTAAAATTTGATTGATAATTCTAAAATAATATTGTAATACTTAGGGGTATCCATTTACAAAAATGCCACTAATTATGGGTTTTTAAACCTTAAATCTTAATATTATAACCCCTAAAGAATGTTTTGACCCCTAAAAGCCCTTAAATCCTCAAAACTAAACATTAATACAACATAGTTAACCTGAACATAAATGATCTAATGAATTTTTTTTGTTGAAAAGTGACATTTTTACAAAATTTTTGAAAATGTGGCAGTTTTGAAATAGTAATGTTTTTTGAAAATTTTCTTTATTTAATTAATTACTTTTTCAAAAATTCAGCAGATTCAACAAATTCTGCAAATTCCGCAGTTACCATTTAAGTTTGACATTATTCAGCAAATTCCGCAAAAAATCACTAAAAATTCAGCAAATTCTGCAATTCTGGTTTTACCAAACACTAACTCCTTGAAGACCTTGCTCATTGTACCATTTTCATATTGGGATTGATACCTAGTGAAAGCAGGAGCCTTAGGTAGAGAAATTGTAATATTTTCAGTACCAAGCCAAACTATTATAGAGCTCATCGTTGGTCTCTTTGTTACATTCTCTTGAAGACACAACAAACCAATCTGGATCGATTTGGTGATATCGTTTCTGTTTACGGAATAAAACCAAGGAGATTGATATCTAACCAAAAAGATCTTCTGTATATCTTTGATAAATCTGTGTATATCTTTTAGTGTAGTTTTTTTTGCTTTTAGGAAGATCTTGTATAGTTTGTAGAAAAGCACCATGAGTTCATTGAATGATTGACCAAATCATTTATCAATTTTCGTTACAAAATAAGAACTTCGCATTTGATTCTCTATCATTTCAAAAATTACAACTTTGTCATTTGTCATTTTCTTCTTTTGCATCCACAAATATTTCAAGCCTTACACGTGATTGGTAGGGGTGGGCATTCGGTTTTGTGGTTCGGTTTCGGTTCGGTTTTTCGGTTTTAGCTAAATTGAGTCCATAAGAAACCGAAATTGTT